CATAGGATTTCCTTTCTATTTTTAGTTGAATTTTAATTCTGTAAATTTATTCAAGGATTTGGGATTAGGGGTCCACTAGGTGGATTCCCAAGTTGTACGGTTTTAAATTATACTTAATTTATTATTTCAAGTTTGAGGATTCTTATTTTAGATGTCTTTCAGCGTTTTATTAATTTATCTTTAAATTTAGTTTTTAATTTCTGCTTGTTTACATATTGATTGTCTGATATCCCTCGGATCTGTGCTCGGACTTGATCACCCGTGGCTCTAGAATCGAAGGGTATGACATATATCATACTACCAAGCGTGTTATCATGAAACACCTAAACATGTTATAATGCCAAAACATGTAATTAAAAGCATGCGAATGCATCAAAATATATCAACAAAAGCATGATATGCACCCAAAACCTGTCGTCCTAAGGTATTCAAACCTAGGAGCTCTGATACCACTTGTAACGGCCCAAGTTTTTCAACCCGGTATGTCAGTGATGAACCGAAAGTTAATCCAATAACGGATCCGAAATGCAGAAGCAAATGATAAACAAAGGTCTTAAAAGATAAGAGTCACTCCCGAGACAGCAATGTGATTTCCCATGAGATCACGGAACTTAAAGAAAGCAAAAACGGTAGTAAGGGTCAAAAATGATAAAATTTGCTATCCAAGGGGTAAAAAGGTCAATTCACAATAAAAGAGAGAAAATTGACTCAAAACATGTCAAAAAAGGTTAATACAACCTAATCTAATCATTTTGAAACATTCCAAGAGGTTCCGTGAACATTGGCTAAGAATCCCACAAAATGCCCCGTCCCGGTTGAAGTGAAAACTGACACTACTTCACTAAAACATGAATAACTTCCACTATGTTTGGAATCTAAGAATGGGATTGGTACCATTGGAAATATTACTCAAAATCCTTAAGTTTAGGCTGAAGAATCACACCATTTGGATTAGAAACGAAGAAGTTATGACCCTATGAAGTTGGAAGTTCAGTGCTAAAACTCAACAGAAGCAAGGCTCGGGTTCAAGCTATTTCGGTCGACCGAAATAAAGGTTTGGATGACCAAAATGAAGATGCTGAGACCTGAAATCATGAAGAAAAGATGCAATTCATTTCGGTAGACCGAAATAAGGGTTTGGTCGACCGAAATGAGCTTTGAACAGTTGATTTGGCTACAGGAATGTGATTTTACTATGCATTGGCAATTCCATTTGCCATCGGTCGACCGAAATAGAGTTTCAGTCAATTAAAATACCACAAAAAGCTGCTATGAGCCCAAGGTGTTAAGGTTCAACCTTAACTTTGAATCCCATGATGTTTTGGTTCACAATGAGTATGTAAAACTGATTTTTCATGAGTTTTGATAATGCGAACATGTCAACAACTTTGATATGAGTACTTGAATGTAAAATAATGGCACATGGCCTTATGCACTTCATTTACAATATTTTCATGTGTTAAACCTCAAACTTTGGTTTAAATACATTTTTGATGCAAAGATTGATACCAAAAGTGCCTAAGTACAAAGGCACACATGTTTGGCCCTTGGCCTCTTTACATACATGTTTATAATGTCCAAAGCAAATGTTTGAGTGTTATTACATATCAAGAAAGCAACTGAAGCTCCAAAAATACCATATACTCATGGCATTCAAAATATGATATTAAAAGAAAGGAATGCTAAACACTTGCATGTCAATATACAAAAATCCTTCATTTAGCTCAAAAGCTTCTAAGGATGATGAGCCTCTAAGAACATAGTCTCTTTACCTGAAAAACAACCCACACCACTAGGGTGAGTAATCAAGTTACTCGTAGGATGTGGTGCATGCGCATACCCTATAGTTTCAAGTATAATGTGAACCAAATATAAACCATCACAAGGATGCATTCCACCTAACGTCTATGTTCTCATGGTGCCCTAAGGGATCATCTCAAGCTATACAAATGTTGAAACGGTAAACACGTAACATCCAAGTATACATAAGCAAGTACACTAACCACATTAAAACTAAGATTTACCAAATCACAAGCTACAAGAAATCCATGATTTACAACTTGGAAAGTAATGCGAAGTCAAGTAATGGAAAGACTAGGATATGTGGCCACGAGACCATACAAGTTATTTTGGGTAATTATGACCCATAAGGTACTACCTAGTGCGCACTATGATTTAGGAGAATTCCTTTCCTCCGTACTAGAGCCAAACTCTAGCCATCAAACATTTCATATCCTTACTAGCTTCTAAAAATCAACAAGTTCATGACATTTATACAATCTCAATGCATGAACTACCTACCAAGCATAAGTAGGGTAAAACCACACAAACTATGCCCTAAAGTTTCATGTCTAAAGTGGCAAGCTTATGATACTACACATGATGCCACATGGATTTAATATTAATGTAGGCCACACAATTACTATTTATGCAATATAGTAATTTACCTACAAGTAATTTCAAGTGATACGTACAAGACTTTCAATGAAATCCATATTACTTAACAACACAAGAGTAATTTCAAGATATTCATCACAAACCCTCAATGAAATCGCAAGTATTAGGTAAATCATTAAACAATAACCTACCTATACATTTTAATAGTCATATACATGCTTTAATCCACAAATCCTAAGTCAAGCATATAAAATCTCTATTTATATGCAAATACAAGAATTTTAAAGCATGTAATCAATATATATCAGGCTCCAATATATATAAAATCCAAAGAGGATAAACATACAACCACCCCTACCTCAATAGAGAATTGAATCTCTATAATCCAAGCTACCAAGCGCAAAATGAAAAACAAGTTTAGGGTTATCGAAGAGGAGAGTGAGAGGAATCTTTTGTCTCCCAAGGTTTTTACTCTAAGGTGAATGGAAGTGAGCCAAATTGATGGGATAAGCTATGAACTAAGCTTTCCTCCAATGGTGGATTGGCTAAGGTTCATGAAAGACAATGAAATGAAAAAGTAAAGTGTAAAATGGTGAGTGGAAGGGCTAGAAATCCTCCACTCACTATGTGCTCTTGCACTACCTCTCTCACACACACAATGCAAGACTAAATCTTGATCCTACACTTGTCACTAATCTAATGCCTCCTTCAAGACTTAATCCTAGACCTACATTTGTCAACAATTAATGGCTACATGTGCACCAATCCTAGTCCAACACATGGATGACTCTCCACCTTCCAATTGTCAAGAAACTATGGTACCAGGTCTCTTCACCCAATTGCCAACAAGTGGCACCATGAGAATGTGACACTTGTCACATTTTTCAAAAATTACAAAATAGTCCTTTTTCAAAATATCTTCCAAAATAAATTACAAAAAGGTCCCCAAAACAGAAAATAATTATTTTACATAATTACACTAAAACCCCAAAAGTTAAGAATAATTACACTAAAGTATGCATTCATGCCCTTTATGAATAAAGTAAGCAAATAGCATGCTTTTCAACAAAAGTAAAAACACTAATGTCATGGAAATCAAATATCATGAATGCATGTAAACAGAATCAAGTCCGAGCACAACAAGTGAGGTTATGCAAGGAAAAATGAAAAACGACTAAAAGACAAAATAAGGAAAAGACAAAATAAAAAAAAAGACGAAAAAAGAATATCGCAAAAAATGAAAAAGGAGGAAAAATACCGGGTCATTACTGCACTATTTTAGGTCATGAGGACATCAAATGGTTATCTACCTCTATATTTATAATAATAAATCTCACCAGTGCAAGTTTTCTTAATAATCTGGAACGTATGCATGCAATCAAAAATTTGCAATTAACTCAGAATGGCCAATAAATTTAATCATATTACAATAAAAATATCTATACAATTCTCAAGAAAAGTACAAATTTGGGCTGGGCTTACCACTTACATATTTGTGAATAGGACCCAACCCTTGTAGAACATTCCCATCCTCAAAGCGGAGGTGAGGGATTCAAGTCCTACAAAAAGTGTTTATGAGTGTATTTCTTATCAACAAAAGAATGACTTATCATATCTCTGCTAACACTAATCAGTGTTCGACTTAAGTTGATTCAGTCTCCACAACTCTATGAGATTTCGGCTGAGTTACACTACTCTTAATTTATATGCTGTAATATATATTATTCAATCCACTCCTAGATTTGGACTGGTGGATAGATAAATGGGTTTACCATTTCCCTTTATTAGTCATAAACTTATCCATGCAAATTATAATATTATCACTACATATGAGAAGAAGAAGAAAAATAAAATAAAATAAAAAATTCTTAAGTATTTCCATTTTTCACTTAATAACCTACTAGGCATATATAAAGCCACACATAATTTTTATTTAGTGAGCGTATCAATAAGATGTTATGGTGGCAGTTGGCACAATAAATATGTTCTTTGGTATATTATGCCTACGGAAGAAGTATGATTTCTTATTCAAGTATTATCATATTTATATAACAAAAGATATTCTCTTTTGGACAATATAATAACTACTCATGTACGTATCATAGTAATCACTATTTTAGTTTTGAGGCCTTCAAATGGTTATCTACCTCTATATTTAGTGCAAGTTTTCTCAATAATAACAATCAACTCAGAATGGCCAATCGATTTAATCATGCTACAATAAAGTATCTATACAATATATCTTCGAGGAAAATACCAATTTGGGCTGAGCTTACCACTTAGATATTTGTAAATGGGATCCATCACCTGTATAACCTTCCTATCCTCAAAGAGGAGGTGAGGGATTCGAACCTTACAAGAATTGTGTCGTGTATATTTTGTCAACAAAAGAATGACTTATCATCTCTCTGTGTTCGACCTAAGTTGATTCGGTCTCCCACAACTCTTGTGAGTTTTTTGATGATTAACACCACTCCTAATTTGATGAAGTCTCGCATAACTATGTGAGTTTTTAGTTGAGTAACACTACTCTTAATTAATTTATACGTAGTTATATCATTCAATTCACTAATAAATTTAGACTAATTGGTATATATAAGGGTTAACCATTTCCCTCCATTAGTCATAAACTGATCCATGCAAATTATAATATTATCACTATATATGAAAAAACAACACACTAATTGAGCAAGCAATTTTGATTAGAAAAAGATAGAAAAAAAAATTCCTACAATTGCAATTTATAGTATTTTCATTTTTCACTTAATAACCTATTAGGAATATATAAAGCCATATGACACAGATCATTTCCTAGCCTTTATTGACAAATTAAGCCCTCGAAGTTTTCAATGTTTTGGAAGCCTTCCTCTTCACTGGCATAGACACCTTCTTCTCCTACCCTTGCTTTTTCGCATTCTTGTTACCCTTCTTAGCCTCTCGCTTCTTCTTTAAAGCCATTGATGTCTTGACCTTCTGACTCAACCTCTTGCTCTTCTCGACCTTCTTTGTAGCCTTCTCACTCACACTACTCTTGTAACGAGACCCCCTTGTAGAAGAACCAGCCACCATTTTCACCTCCTCATACGCAGAAACCTTGTGGGATTTCTTGATCTTGAATGACTTACTATTCGGTTTCGTCGCATTCAACACATCTTTCTTCTTCTGAGATTTTTTGACAGGAGCAGCAGCCATCACTTTCACGTTGTCGGAAGCAGAGATCTTGTAGGAGTTCTTGATCTTCGTTAGTTTCCCCGATTTCACCAACTTCTTCAACTGAACGGACAGTGTCTTCTTGCAATTTGGTGGAAGCAGATTCTGGTACTGGTCTTTCATGACCTTTGCAATGGCAGGCTGGCTTGAACCCTTTCGATGCTTCAATGACGTTATCGCTTCACATATCATCTATAAACAATGCAAATAAATCGTTACAATTCAAAGAATCAAAATTTGAAAAAATAACACAACATACATAAAATGGGTGTGAGTCTCGATCTTGCCAAGAAAAAAAAAATGTCCTACAGAAAATGGAGAGAGAGAGAAAGAGAGAGAGAGAATGCACATGGAAGTAGGGTGGATGGAGGATTGAAGGTGTATTAGTGAACTTGGTGGGAGCCTTTTTTGCAGAAGCCATGGTTTGTTTCATATAGAAATGTTTATTAGTGTGTATATATATATGGGAGCCAGTGAGATAGAGAGAGAAGGAATTTATGTACATAAGAGGTGTAAAATTTAAAATTTTAGATATTTTTTATTGGTTAATTAATGGCTGATGTTTCAACAGCAAGTGGTCGTGGGGTAGTGGGTTGAACTAGAAGAAGCTGGTGTGGATCGTGGGTTAGTGGTCTATTCTAAAATATAATGCAATCTAAAAAAAAAAAAAAGAAAAAAAAAAAAAGAAAGGATAATTAATGACTGCAAAACCTAGTTGGCCTTGCCATGAATTTATTGTGCAAATTGATATATACTCATCCAACATTTTAGATAAAAAGTTGTGCATAAGAGAAGTCAGCCTAATTCTGTTGTGGTACGAGTAAGCATGAAGCATCCATTTATAAATACATTTTGTACTTGACAATTAATCAGTTATCAAACCGTAATTGAAACTTATAAGAGTGGTGATTAAAGACTCCGAATTTACAGTTCTCCAGACCAGAATTGATAATATTTATTTGTTTTCATTTTTTCAATTTTTATTTTTTATTTTTTATTTTTTTTACTCTCTTTTCTTTTTCTTTTCATATTTCACACGCATAAAATGAAGTAAATTTATGAATTATACTGAAATTCAAATTTGTAGCGAATTCTGTAAACATAATCTATATCCGATCTATAAAATGTATACAATGTAAATGGGCAAATTACACAGTCCTCCCTTGAGGTTTACAATAATTACAAATACATATTTATAGTCTCAAATATTACTCTGACCACCCCAAAAAAGCAAACCTTGTAACACGAACATCCCTTAATACTTAATACTGATGGATAGTCAAATAGGACTGCGTTTAGTAATGAAACGTTTTCTATTTTCTGTTTTGAGCATCTAAAAAGGTAAAATAAAAACAAAAAGTATGTTTAATAATATATTTTTGATTTTTTGTAACAAAAAACGTTTTCTATTTTTATGAAGAAAGGATAAAATATAAAAAAGTTATTTCTCATGTTTTTGAGATTATTGACTAAAAACGTTTTCACTATTATTATTACATAAACATTGTTTATTTCAAATAAAATGTATGTTATTCATGTTATATACTAATGCTACATATTAAATACTAATAAAAATTATATTTTTAATATATAGTTATATTATATTATATATAAGTGTAAATTATTTTTTATTTAATAAAAATATATATTTAAAATATAATATATTATATAATAGTGTAAATAATATTTGGGACAAAAAAGGATTTATTATATATTTTATATAATATTATTAAATTATTATGCAACATATATAATATATTATTATATACAATACCTATATTATATTATATTATAGTTATATTATTTAATATATTTTATTTATTATAATACAATATATGCTAAATATATTATATATTTTATAATAAATGTATAGATGATGCATACACTTATATACATAATTGGTGTGATTATTTTTGTCGTAATATATCTTATTTTGCACGGGTATTATTAGGATTTGTAATTTTACATTGAACATTATATTTTATTATCTTGTATTGTGTCTTTTTAATTTTTGTGAAATAATTGAATTGCATATATATTTAAGTCTTTTTTGTACTAATGAAAAAAATTAAAATTAAAATTAAAATAAAATAATCAAAATATGTTATGTACATCAGTAACAAATATGTATTATTAAACACTGTTATTATTTTTTGCTTTCAAAATTCTAACAACAACAAGTGTTAATAAATATCATTTTTATTTTATATATATATATATGTGTGTGTGTGTGTGTGTGTGTGTGTGTAAGTGGGGTCCACTTATATTTATCTCAAATATTAGCTTACAAGAGAAGCTTCTTACTTTGCTTAGAGCCTTTTGGCAATCACAGTTGGTTTGTACTTTTGCTTTGACCCGAAGCAGAATCAATGCTTTTGCTTTTATAGTGTGTTGAATACTGTTTTGAAACTTGTTTAGTAACGTAAATTTATTGTAAGATTTTAGAAAGAAAAAAACATAAAAATATGTCCTAAAATTCGGAAGCAAAAATATGAAAACATGTTTGGTAACGTCCATACTTTGGAAGACAACATTAAAACATGTTTGGTAACGTCTATACTTCGGAAGCAAAAACATGAAAACATGTTTGGTAATGTCAGTATTGGGAAAATGGATGGAAACAAAAATAAAAAAAACATGTTTGGCAATGACAGTTAGTATTCTTGTATTTTATTTATAATAAAATTAAATTATAAAATTATTATTTAAATTAAATAATAATAATATTTTATTTATAATAATATTAGTTAAAATTTTTTTATAATAATATTAAATTATATAAATAATATTAATATTTCGTAAAAATGTACTTCAACAACCAACAAAAATTTCAAAACACAAGTGTGTATATTAGTATAAATCCAATTTAGAAAGGTAGATTTGTGCTTATGAAATGAAGTTCAAACTTAAAATTTAAACAAGTTTGTAATTGTATAAATTATATTCCTATTTTAAAGTTTAAAATATTTGTATCATTGGTATTATTTTTTGAAAAAAAAATAAAGGACATAGAGGGAAAGAATTGAATAATTGGAAATTTATTGAAACCTTTTATTTTATTTTATTTTATTTTTTTTATCACTCTCCTACATTGTTTTTGTCACTCGATATCGATAAGTAAGGCATTTTGAAATATTTCACACCAAGCATAAATCAGGATTTGGACAAGTGTAAAAACTTGAGTTGAAAAAACTTTTTAAATTGCACCCACCATACATATTGAGCTTCAACTGTGTTTAAATTACAAGTAAACTACATACCAGGAGAACTGCGCAAAGACTAGGAGAAGGCGTACAATTAGAACTCCATATGCATATAATCTGTCTTGGGCAACCAATGGGTTTTTTGTACAATATTTTGCAGCAAGCAAATATTGGTTGCTGACAAAAATAGAAAACCACAAAACATAAAATCAGGTAAGATTAATAAATCACTAGCAATAAAACTAATGTTCTACATAAACCAAGTCTAAATGGTCAAAATGAGATGTGACCTTGGTTTGAGCTCTTTTCTGATATGAAGAACCCACTAGACAAATAATAAACTTGGTCGGATTTATTATCATTGCGGTAAGACCAAGACTACCATTAATTATCATTACAGTATTGGTTCATAAATGGAGGTCCTTGTAGAGTATAGAAATGTGAAGACATGGGAAATTAAAGACAAGCACATATATATGACAGTCTAGAAGACTTCTGCCATTGTATCAGTTCTTGTATAAGCTTCAAGAGAAATGACAGCTCATTTTGTAAGAAATTTGGCTTTGTTTCAACTTGAACCCGATCCTCTTCCTCCAACAATATATATAGTTCCTCTTACAAGCAAAAGGAGATGAGCCCGAGCATTGCAATGGCAGGGCAGATATAGTCAAATTTTCCCACTTGTCACTTGACATTCGAACACCTCATGCTAACAGAGTAGTATACAGGAAGAAGAGAACATTCAAACAAAGAACCAACACCCCAAGGTATAACGGTATTCTGCACCGGGAATACAAGAACAGTAAACATAAGAAGCAAAAAGAATCACCTCAGTTCATAGTTTGTAAAAACTGAATTCAGCATATATGTCTATGTTTTGCAAGCATAGACATAATAAATACCGAAACATACTAACATAACACATGATGTACCAATAAGAACAATAAAATAGATAGATGAGATGGATTTTTAAGATTGAAGATAAACGTTCATCTTCTAATAGACTCATATCATGGCACTGTAATCCATAAAACATTCGCTACAACGTCAACCCAAGTCTTAGTCCTTGAATATATTTTTTCAGACTTGTTACAAATAGCAGCGAGCAAAGAATGACCACAACTATGTTGAACTCAGTAGAAGTAGCATTACCCAAAAAAATAAAATAAAAATAAAAATAAAAAAGCATTGGAATAGACTCATATAAATGTATAACAACTTAATGCAAAATGTTAGAAAATATATACCTTTTTTCAGACTTGTTTCAAATAGTAGTAAGCAAAGAATGACCATAACCACGTTGAACTCAGTATAAGTAGCATTACCCACAAAAAAAATAAGAAAATGAGCATTGGAATAGACTCATATAAATGTTTAAAAACTTCAGGCAAAATATTAGAAAATATATACCTTTTTCAGACTTGTTCCAAATAGCAGAAAACAAAGAATGACCACAACCATGTTCAACTTAGTAGAAGTAGCATTACCCACAGAAAAATAGAAAAAAAGAAAAAGAAAATGAGCATTGGAATAGGCTCATATAAATATATAGGAACTTCAGGCAAAATGTTAGAAAATATATACCTTTTTTCTGTCTTGTTCCAAACAGCTGCAAACAAAGAATGACTACAACCATGTTCAACTCAGTAGACGTAGCATTACCCATAGAAAAAAAAAATAAAAAATAAATAAATAAAAAGAGGAGCATTGGAATATACTCATATAAATGTATAACAACTTCAGGCAAAATGTTAGAAAATATATACCTTTTTTTAGACTTGTTCCAAACAGTAGCAAGTAAAAAATGACCACAACCATGTTTAACTCATTTATTAAAGTAACATTACAAACCCAAAAAAAAGCATAAGCTACTAAAGTTAGAATATTACAGTTCCAAAATAAAACATATCGTATGAGTGTCATAGTTATCATATGTAAATATATTACACACATTATTTCTCAAAAACAACAATGAGCAAGAACAACATCACAACCACCATAAATAGTATGGTCAATGTAATACACCCACAACCACCATATAGCATGTACTTGTACTGAGTTTGTTCAGCTTGCATTGCTAAAATTATATCCTCCAACTCATCATCCATATTTCCTTCAACGTGTGCATCTTGGTGCAAAGCATCCAACCATATGAATGCACGTGGGTGTGACAACAATAGTGAAAGATGTGTATAATTATAACAAGAAATTTGATAACATATTCAACATAATAAATCATATCAATTATAATGTATACATTTAATCATAACAATTATGATGTATACATTTAACCATACCTCCCATTCTGGACATCTATAGAAGAAATGTCCTTTATTTTTCGGAGTTCCTGCCCTGTAAAGATTCATGGTACCTCTACCATATGCACACGATGGTCCCTATACTTGATACATGACTGCATATTCATCAAATAGAGTTAACATGCAACAAAAACCACAAATACAACAAATATACTACAACATTACATACAGTCATATCGCAATGTTATAAGTGAAACTAAAAGCAAATCAAGTCAGTTAGAATTACTAATAAAGTTACAGTCATCTAGTGTCATATAAATCAGGTTAAAATGGATATTCTCAACGGCGTTGCACAGTCCTCCATATTGCATCAGCAATACTATCACGGACGCGATCCATTGCTCGTACCTAACCTGGCGTAGTGTTTACCTCTACGTAGGGCTCATTTTACGAAGCAGAGGATTCTGGGTCATCCCCTAACTCATTATCATCAAAGATAGTATCACTCTGACCCTACATTTTTATAAAATTGTGTATCATATAACACGCTATGACAATAAGTTTTTGAGCATCAAAACTAAATGGAGGCATCTACTTCAAAATAGAGAATCGCATCTTTAACAAACCAAAACAACGTTCTATGACCTTCCTCAACGATGAGTGTCTATGATTATATACTTCTTCATAACAACGTGGTC